ACTCTAGAGGATCCCACATACATACATATATATATATATATATATATATATATTATTTACACACACACATATATATATATATATATGTATATTTACACATGCATATATATATATATATATATATACCCTTAAAATCGTGTATTTGATCGTACAATGCATCGCCCACCGTATATTTGCCTCGGCAGTCCACACCAGCTTAAAATCTAAAATCGAGTAATTCTTCTGAATCTTTCATGAATGAATGTTTTAGCAAGATCTCTCACACCGTATACAGATAGCGAGCTTTGCATCTTCTGTGGTACAATACAATGTAATGCACACGCATGAGATAAACTGCTTGAACGTAAGCTCGCGGTACAAAAATTTCAGTGACAATGTATTCCAATTCAGTAGGATGTTATGTACGATTCAAAGGCACACAAGAGTAAAATGATCTGTCGAACCGTAGCCCACTCCTGCACACTTGCTTGGCCATCCCCTCGCTGTCATTGATCTGATATCAGTCGCCATTGATCTTATTATATACTATTTTAAATAATTAACTGAAAGGCTAACTAGGCAGGGCTGATGAATGTGAAATCTGGATCGCTTGATATCATGCATTCGGTCAGCAGTAGTTGGCTCTTAACGTGGAAAGGAAACTTTTAGAAATCAATCATCTTCATCGCCAGTTTCCAAATACAGCTCCTCCCACGTTATCGCCTCTTCTATTGAGTTGAACAATTTTTCAACCCCCACGTACAAAGGTTTCTGTGCAAAATAACCCCATTTGCCCTCACTATCCCTTGCATGCGTATTCACCCAGCAATCATTCCCTGGTCCATCTTTCCTACACCTAGCAATGATCTTTTGCGGAATCGTGAACGCGAGCGCCAGATAGTTCATTTGGCGACCAAAGCTCATCCAAGCTGTACGCCAAATAACCTTCTCAGGGCGTGCGTACCAATGAGTCACATCGGGATCATAGTCGGTATGTAATACTATTTGATGTTCCACCTCCAACCCCACAGGAGAGATGGCAGCTTTTAGCTTCACATAGAAAGTCTCGCCTGTGTCCACTATCTGTTTGGGGTGGCTAGGTATCTGAAGAACGCTCGTTGGTATTTCGCTATTGAACTTCCACCATCGCTTGTTGTCGTGTAGATATCCAAAAAAATCGTCTTCTTGCTCAGACCAAGGCTTCCTCGATATGTATATCGCATCCACAGTCCCCGGCTGAGTATATGCTTGAATTGCGCTTGCATACCTACTTGCCTTGTCCGCCATACGTTCCTCAGAAAAGGGAGCTCCATCAGCGGTCAAAATTACAACCTTCTCCCAGACTAAACCCATGAACTCAACTGGCAACGCAATGAGGATTCGTCTGAACAAGAAGTGATTGTTAAGACTAGACATTGAGGTGTCCATCTGTGAATGGCCGCCACTGAGACGCAGACTCTTGTCATAGTCCCAGGGCTGGAAGTAGAACTTTTTAAGCTCGTCGTTGGTGAACAATCCCATATTGTTGGACGTGTGATCCCAATCGCCCAGTATCGCGTGCGTGCATGCCACCCATAGAGATAAATTATCCAGGTCGAACCATTTCCTCAATGTCTGCGGAAAATCAGTATCACTCACTTCGTTGATGTCTTTCATCATGTGTAGCAGCTGCGTGTGATCATCGGAGCCTTCGTAGTCCATAATAGCCCGAAAAAGAGTGTCATTAAATTCCGGGTCAGAGGTCAGCTTCAGATCACCCACCGACTGCCCGTCCCAGTTAACACTCTTGTACAGATTGTACCGTTCTTTCCCCAGCCAATTCCGTCGCTTCACAAAAGATTCGTCAACAGGTTCGAAATTGATGTACATACCAAAATCGTGATCAGCGACTGCACCGTCTTTCGCGCGCACCTGAATCTTCAAAGCCATAAAATTAGTGCGTAAAGAGTTAAAACTCGGCATCTCCTTAAATGTGTCGAATAGGATTTTGGATCGCAGGCCGCTCTTGTCGGACGGATCTTTCTTCAATACGAGCTTATCGAGACCTCGCCAGACTTTCTCCTCCGGTAAAAAGGTGATGGTGAAAGACTTCAGCTTAGCCCTGCGTGCAGCCCCACCGTGCTGTGAGAGTATAATACTCCGTCGTACGTTGTTGTTCTCGACACCGTCACTCAGTAACAAATCACATTCTATCACAGCTTTGGAATCATCATATTGATTGACGTTGTTGAGAACGTCGGTGAATGTAGTGTGAGAGCCCTCAAGCTGGTCAGGACACTGTAGATCTACTAGGGTCACGTAGTCGGCAGGGGGGTCTTCGTCATACGCATACGTATCTCTATATTGGTTCGTAGCTACACTGTAGGACCCGTTTCTCTGTGGTTGTTGCGTAGAATTGTTATCATCTCCCCACATGAAAAAATACAACACTATAACAAAAATGATGGTTGATACCCGCCGAATCACATATCCAACACTTACTCGAGCCATAATCACCACTGTATAATGACTATATCCCCACTTTGACAACTAAATGGATATTTCTTTTGAAGGGAACACTATTATCTAATACCAGAGCCATCCAAATCAGCAACGATACCTGCGTATTTTGTGGAATATTTGCATCATAGGCACTAACCTCTGTTCACAAAGCAGTGACTATCATAATCATGGACAGTGGCATATACGCAAGGCGGAAGTAATCAGGGCGAGCTTCACTACTTATCTCGCATTTAAATACATTGCCTCTCGTTAACCCACCCACCTTACTCTGAAAATAGAACCTCGCGTAAGCGACGAGGGTGTTCTTACAGTTCTAGTGTTGTCTCGCCTCGGTTAGTGTATGTACTATTTTTTCTCTTAAAGACCTACTGTACGTTGCCAAATGTTTAATTTGCCGACACTGGGACCCGATTTCTATTTTTTATTTTTTTAACATTTTGTGAAGATTTGTAGGCGATGATATTTTGGTTTTGTGTTAGTTCCCCATATTTGGGCGTAAAAGAACTAGTTCACAAATGCATGACCTCTATTATTAAAAAATAGCTCGTCCGAAGACCGAAGGACTAGGGAAGTTTTATTAGATGGGCCGTACTGACAAGTGACAAATATCATCATTTTGCTATCTATCATGCGTTACATCTGTTTTGGAGGCGCGTATTCGTTGCCCGAATCGTTGGTGAATACATACAACAACTGAGCTACAAATATTTATGATATATACATATATATATAAATATATATATATAGCTCTTTTAACAAAATATAAATTTACATTATACTTCTGCTGGGCACATCGATTGTCTAGGTTCGAAAAGCACAGTAGGAAAATCCCTGGTGCCAATCAAGCTTTAAGCACACGTCCCTACCGAAGTACCAGACTGCTCTCATTCAGGTGGGCCTTCTTTGTGTTGTTCGAGAGGATATGTTGAAGCTTTTTAGTGTAAGAAGACTGTTTTGTAAGCATTAAAAATAGCAATATTTTCCCCCATTTCCACGAGGTCTACCTCACCTTCTCGTGGAAAACAACATATTTGAAGCGTGTGTCTGTCGGAATGACGTTTGATATTAATATATATATATATATATATATATTATTTCTATATCTATATCTATATATATATATCTGTATATACTCTATGTATATATATATATCTATATAGATATATATCTATATATATATATATATATACTATATCTAATTTTCTCATTGTCATGGGAATTTTAATATCATACAATTTGTCTCGTATACGCTTCGTTTTGATTATATATCCCATTTATATGTAATTTATGCAAAATATGTTGCAACCAATTAATGTGAGAAGTTTTTTAAAATCTATGCACATTAGAAATGCTGGTCTCAATAACAATTGACATGTGCTCTTGCACCGTTAGCATACACAAAGTTGACCTTCATATCAAATACCGAGTCAGGTTCTGGGGTCTACTTTGCAATACCATCGCTCTTGTACAAGTCTGGATGAAATGCGCCTCCACCTGAGTGGTTGCCACGCCAGAGCCTTATTATGTCTAATAAATAATACAAAGATCTCCCGCTTTATTCCATTACGAGTGTAAAGTCACCCTAAAACCCGATCGCTCCCAAACCCTAATATCGGCAGACCTATCACTCGGGTATCGTCTCACTACAATCCTTATGTCTCCTGCATTCTTACCACACGTTTTATGGCTCGGTCTTGTCACATAACAGTCATCATGTCGTTGGCACCGCCCCGCGACACCGAACTGGGGTACACCCCTGCACCATCGCCCGTGCCCTTTGACTCGCCGATGCCGTCGCGATTTGATCTCGACGTAAACGGCACCAGTTACGCCGCAGTTACCGCAGACGATAAGTCTGGTGAGACCGATAAGGACGCTTCCGAGGGTAATGCAAAGAAGCAAAAGAAAAGCTCGATGTCGAAGATGATGCGTTCGTCGTCGGATAAGGTCAAGGCAAATGAAGCCAAAGCCTTCTTGCCGGATGCGGTATGTCTTCTGCCTGCCTATAACATTTGGTGTTATGTGTGGGTGTGTATGCAGCCAGCTACATTCGTGATAGACTGAGAGGATCTTGTTTATATCCAGCGCACTCACCTGGTACACGAGCGCTCCGATATTGCATGGATGATTTGTGCACCCGTCTTTTATATAGATAACTGTGGAAATGAATACCTTTTATGAAATTGTTAAACACGCATCGCATTCAGTATATGCAATCGCCTACGCACAGATTGTTGCACCTGACTACCTGCCAGCCCCTTTTTATGTTGATGTTATAGTACTCGTATCCAACATGTGCTTGTTTTCCGCCATTTGAATGAGGATGTTCAGTGTCCCAGACAAGACTAGGAAGGACATACATACATCAGTATGGCCGTATGTTTCACTGCCCTACATCTATCAGAGACATACCCCTTTTGGACAACATCATCTATCGCTCAAATCAATTATTCCCCCACTATTTCGAATGGTTCAAAAACAGGAGATTGAGCAGAGTACCATATATCAGCTCAGCAAGCATTACTTCGTCTTCTATAGGTTCTTCAAATGGTTCCATGACATCACAGTCGTCGGCGCCGAGCAACTAGATGTGAGTTCGTTTGTTTTGTTTAACCCGGCTACTCATCATTTTCTGCATCCGAAATGTCGGACATTGTTGTACTCCAGTTGCTTGTTCCCATTTGGACGTCTGCGTATCGTGTGCAAGAGGTAGTCAATAAAGTTTTTCTTCCTTGGTTTAGAGCTTTTATTTTTGCTATGGTGTATGCCCTACTGCTCTCGTAAACACACTCATAGAATATGTATTATGAACCATTCAAATGATTACCCACACTATATATATTCCTAGAATAAAGAGTGCAAACCTGAATTGTTGATGTGCTGAGATTTTTATATGAATATTTAGTCTGTCGTATGTGTGTTGTTTTGATCTGGGTACGCAAATATTAACCACGGCTGTGTGTTCGCTCACAGGGCTCTGGTGGTCTCTTTGTCGGCACGCACACAACGCACAACGCGGATATCATGCTGAACGGAATAGCGCTTACGGAGGCAACAGGTATGCTTATGTGTTATGCACGACTGGTGCTTCATAATACCACTGATGTATTCCTAAGTTCCCGTGTCGCCACACATTCGACGTTGGCGCACATTGGGGCGAGCTGAGGCTGTGATAGCGTAAACGTATTAGCTATATAACGGGTATGCGTGGTGTTGTATCATACCCCATATCACTATCGGAATATGACTCCAGATATTCTCGAGAGCGAGAAAAGGCTGTTGTGATGAAATGTGCTCATTACGGGTCGTGTTTATGTTCCTTATTCAACACTCTATATTGAGGAAAGTGTGCGGGGAATCCAGTATCCCTTGTACGAATACTATGCTTCTATTCAAAGGTCTCAAGCTGCCAGTACCAAATCACTCTTGATAGGCCTACACGTACATGCTGAAAGTGTGGAACTTTGGCTTGATATATATATATTTGAAGAGTATCACCATGGCATTATTCTCGGCCCAGACGTATATCTATGCTTGTCCTTGTCTCACTTCACTGGCAGTAGGTATATTTTGGAGGTAACTCGTTATATATATACGTAAACGCTCTATCACCTATTCGATACTACAGGCATAGTCCTTCGAGGACTATACCATCGGCAGATTATGATGTTCAACCCGTGGCTGAGGAATGTGGGTGGTGTCCCGGGCCAGCGGAATACGGGTGCCACTTTGATAAAGCATGGTTTCTACCCCGGTATGTTCTGTCTCTACAAATGGTGATACACCTCCGTTAGCTCACTTGGTCAGTCTACTTAAGTACATAGGGGATTGCATATACCTGCGCAACTGGTACGGGTGTTGGTGACCCGGAGAAACCTGTCTGTACGACTGACTTTCTTACCTTTCCATGTGGCAGGCTGCCTTCCCGGTGGCTCTGAAGAGGCAATGACTGGACACAAGAACTCGTACAAGCTGCACTGGAAGTCAAAGTCAGGTAGGTAGCATCGCACAACCGCCAAATTAGACATGCATATCTTCCCCATCATATGATCATGTACGCACTAGCGTATGCTTGTCTGCTGCCGATCATACTTATTTAGGTTGAATAGTTGTAGCTCGGAGTGGGTCATCTTTGTGCCCATAGTATAGTTGGGCTATGTTCGTATGCAGATCATATTCGTGATGTCCATGGAAAGGTACCTAACATACGTATTTATATTGACTGTCTAGTTACACTTAGTATCTATTACATTATTGTCAAGCTATATGGGAGCGACGCTCTGAGACCCGAGTCTCAGTGTTGCTGGCGCCAGCTAAATGGAATATGTTTGGTGGTCAGCAAACCATGGGTGCCGTGTGTAAATGCAATTGTGCTGTGACACGCATATCTGCACTGGAGTTCATTCAGTCACTCAGCCATATAAGGTGCCTACATCTGTTCGATGAATTGCAGTACTTCGCCACCCTCTTTCCATCAATGGATAATGAGGCTTACTCGTATGGCACTTTGCTTTCTATAAGTTGTGCCCAACCACATGGAATGTATTGCCATCGGCATCGGCAAGATTTTGCTCGTTGTGAAACTCATCAGAAAATATACCTGAGCGATTTTCAATGGCTAGTGCATACTCACAGCTACATTGGCCCTGCGCATATAGCTGTCAACTGTCATGGCTATTTGTTGATCATTCTCAATTTTGAACACTGCAGGAAACTTGAGACAGGGATTCGCCCACTTAGCCGTGGCTGTAGGCAAGCCGACTCACATATATCGTAAGTTGAGCTGGGTTTGTTGTTTATTGAATCGATTGTACAAATATATGACAGCAATTATTGTATTGCAAAGCATGTGTATGCAGCGAATGTAATCACAGATAGACTGCTTCGTGTCTGTGCATAGTTGAACATTATTTTACACACGTGCACTCGAGATTCTATACTACTTTCGCTCACTACTGTCTATATCACTGCAGCCATATTTTCCCAGAACTCGGAAGAGATGAGATTTGTGCCGCTACTGTGGTTGGGCAATCTGCTCGGCCTTACGAAACTCTGGAGCATGCTCATTGAATTCCTAGCGTTTGCGCCTGTCCTGCAGAACATCCTCTACAACATCGGATCAATGGTTTGGTACGTTGGCCTGGACTAGAATAGGTTTCGAGAGATAGACGTTTGTCATACTGCAATAGTCTGTACATATCACGTACTTTTAGGACTGAATGCGTTTGCCTAAGCCCTGGATGTATGTCTGATTGTAGTAGGCCTTGCGTATGCAGCTATAGTCGTCCTTTACTATCTTTTCTATTCATTTGGAATCAGAAGTGCATACCACCTATCACTGTGAATTAACTTAATTGGCATTCGTATAGGCAAGTGTTAATGGTGCTTTTACACGTCTTCACTTTCATATTGCAAATACGTAAGTTTCTTAAACTACTGTATACAGATTTTCAGCCAGCTATATATATGTATATATATACATATATATATATATATATATTCTAAGTACATGGTACTCTATGATCATCGCGTAAAATTCCATTGCACATCATTCATTGCAATGTTGTATCGCCAGTAGCACACATTTTGTTAGGGCGCAAGGTTTATTCCTACCTGAACCCCGTCGCATTTTTTTTATTGCACATTGATGTATTCCTGTGCTAAGATCTCTTTTGTTAATTTATTTGTTTGTTTTCTTAACACACCAACAGGTTTTTCTGTGCGTACTTCTTCCCCATCCCCATCCCCGTGAAGGTGACGCTGCACATTCTACCAGGAATCCCCGTGAAGCCAGGAGACGATCCGGTTGAGATCGCCAGGAGAGTGCATGACGAGTTTGAGGTATGGTTAAGCTCGAGTGCTCGATACACCCACACAACTCTACGTGTTTCGTAGAATTGGGGTTTTAGGGTTTACTCTATCTGATAGTACTAGTTGTGGTAGTGGGACACAGTGTAACTAAGAGATTCGTGACATAGCGTTCGGCATTTTATGCCAGCACCACAATGACAGTATTTGTTATTGTGTGTTCTATAGCTGACCATATCTAATACGTCGTAGTTTATCGGTATCCATTCATTGGAAAGCACCGAACGCTGAGTATTATATGCAACAAACACCCAAACTTTGTATTTCGAAATTGATTTCATCAGATTGTATTTATATTATATGGCATGTCCAGCATGCAAAACTTATGTAAAACTCAAGATGCGACAGTTGGGTGTATGTGAAATACCGTTTGTCGTCGGTAGTGTTCGTCCGTCGTACAAATTGTCTACTGCATTCCCACTCGAATTGCCAGACGTAAGTACGCTAACTCGCCGAGCTGAGTCCTTCAACCCTAATAGCAATACACGGGTTGCCTTGAACATTTGATACACCATAGCTATATCCATATGTCAACGGGTGAGAAGTTTATAGCTTACAGTTGTGGGTCGGTGAGGAATAGTGGACTCTCTACCCCTTTCCCTGCGCTGACCAATTGATTGTGTTGGCATGCCTAATTAAACGCTACAGGGTCACATAAAGAGACTGCAGCCGTGGGCGCCGGCTAAGAACTATACGGCCGCTCTGAAAGATCGTTTTGTGACTGATGTGAGCCAAAAGAAGAAAGCTTAGACTAATCTTAGAGGACAACCAAGTTGTAGACTGCATAGCAAGTATGATATATCTAGTGCGACCACAGCAATTGAGCAGCGAGCTCAACGTGTACTCAGACAGGCGCAAGATTTCATACTAGTGCATCAGATGTGCATGCCGGAAACTTTCAGACAGAAAAAGGAGCACGATGTTTAGTTTAGGCAGTTTTTCCCTTTAGTGACTGTAAGTGGCCTGAGAAGAACATCTTATACTATAGCTATATTTGCAGTAATATGCGCTGGAGAGATAGCGACACTTGTTCGATTAAACTTTCTGTATCTAAAGTCGATCTAGCCCTGGACCACGGGAATGAGGTCTGGTACTCAATCCGATTACCTGCTCATACATAATCACGCCCCTAAAAATCCCCATCGTGCTGTTCGTAAAGCATGTCGACCCGGGGTGCGCAGCCCTTCAACTACTCGTGGATCTGGACATATGCTGATATTTGCTGTGTATTGTGCCTTGCACAGACTCTTGCACTCACATCGATCAACGTATATAGTTATAGTTATATAAATATAGATGTATTATATAGTTCTAGATGTATATGTGTGTGTATAGATATAGATAGGTGTATATATGTTAAATATATATATATATATATACATATGGTATGCATGTATGTATGTATGTATATTATTATTATTATTATAAATATATATATATATGTATGTATTTACATGATGTTGCCGTTTTCTTAAGGTTAGAAAGGTACCTGAGACGACGAGCTTCGATTTCATATAGGTCATGAAGTTGAGCAGTTAATGGCTCGATTGTGTCTTGTTACCAGCATACCAGCATGTCATATAAATGCTCGCTTTATTAATATAATATACACGTGTCTACAGCCCATCCATATTGGTAATATCGCCAACAGTTTAGTATTGGCTGAGAATAATTCATCTTCAATGTGCAACACTGTTGAGTCAGTCTCTGCTTGAGTAATTCACTCCCTCGTATTTATATTGTGTGAATATGATATATACCCCAACCTTGCCATGCCTCATGACAACCCTTCTCACATAGTCTTCACTAGGGCAATGATTGATAGTCCCAATCATCCACCTTCCACGCAGGTTTGTCGAGATCCTCCTACCCAATACAATCTTAATAATACTTGAGTCTCCAGTCATGCCTATACCACGCCCTTCTCTCGCGTTCCTACCATTTCATACACATACACAAATTCATCAACAGTATAGTCAACCCCAAAGCGATCCAAGAAAAATGTCCGGTGTTGCGGTTGTTGTAAACATTATAACGTACTCGAGCTCATAACCAACTGGCACCCACGTGTCAGATGTACTCAAAGGCAATCCATCGAGTACACCCAGACGCAAGGCAAATGGGCTTCGAGCTCGAACACGCTGTAGTACGCCGCACACCAATGGGCGTATACATAGACAATCAATTCGTGAATTCCGGGCTCTAGCACGCTAGTATACGCCGACCTCCCTGTGCATATACAAGTAGCTCCCGGAGATTCACCTCGATGTGGCTGTGCGGCCATCACCTAGTCCGCCGAGAGAGCCGACTCTTCGCCTTCGCACCTACGCAACAACACGGAAGTGCAGCCAGAGCAGCAACACGCGACAAGCCTCGAGCTAGTCCGTGGGTCTAAAATTCCTCTACAAAGCGTATATGATCCGCAGCATTCTCCCGCCAGGCATTTTGCGGGGCGGGTCCGTGCACTTCGCGGAGGAAAATAGAAGCTGCCTGATTGCTTGCGTCCAGTTGGTGAGACCTACCGCCCACGTCGTGACATTCGGGGCATCGAGACGTCTCTATGGCCCCCCCACACTCTCCGATGGTGTACGCGTGCCCATTTCTGCAGGTGTACCAATGGCCGCCGAAACTGTTCACGCCCGAGCCCACATCAGCCGGCATGGCCTGGAAAATGGCTTTCTTCTCCTCCAGGGTCACCTGTACAGACGGTGAGGACAGGATGTGTCACAGCACAGTTGAATAGTTTAATACACCGGCCTACTTGAACTGGCGCCTATGCACACAGACCTGGGACTTCTTGACTCGTACGCACAACGAAGAGTATCTGCATTTACCTACCTCTCCTTAGAACACCTACGACAGAGAGTATCTGAATTTACCTACCTCTCCATAGAACACTTCCGACAGAGAGTATCTGTATTTACCCACCTCTCCATAGAACACTTTCGACAGAGAGTATCTACATTTACCTACCTCTTCATAGAACGTTCCCTTCCAACGCGCGCTTGCTGCTTCTTCGCGTACTATGTCTAAGGGTTCGCCAACGCACCCACACCGGTCTGCGTTCTCCAGGGCTTTCTGTAGCTCTGCAAGGATCTCCAGACAGTGTTCACGGACACGCTTATCCGAGTTTTTTTCCGGGACGATCCCGGGCTTGGATTCGGCTTGGACTTCGGATTTAGCTACCTTGTTGGCTACGGTAGGCTTGGACTTCGGATTTAGCTACCTTGTTGGCTACGGTAAGAGATTGGATTGGGAAATTTAGGTGTGAATAAAAACCTCCCGCAACGAATGCAGACAACACAGTCTGTGTGATTGATTGTTCAACGAGAATCTGGCTAATGTATGTATCCGTGTCATACATGTATTGTATAGCACGGGGTTGCTTTATGTATGGGTCTTTCACTGAACACATATTACCGTCACCCCACTGGACACCATTGAAGCCAACGTTGTACCGGCGCACACTCTGCATCTAATGAAAATATGGCACATTCATATAACTGCGAGGAATACTCATTTAGGAAGTGCTCGATATAACAACTCTCATCAAGTCGCCCTAGTGTGTTGTACCCTGCACTGCGCATCGGACGGCATTCGCGGAGTACAGTTTACAGACACACTTGCATCTGTACGAGCACATACAACACCTACGTATGCCTCTTCGAGACATACGCAATGTGATGTCTTTTATCTTATGTCTTCGATATACATAGTACACCATGCATCACATATGCACTGGCATATGTCTTTACTATACATAGTACACACCCCACATACATCACATACGCATTGACATGTCTTAGATATACATAGTGCATACCCCATATGCATCACATACGCAGTTTTAGTATGTCTGTGACATACACTGACACCACATACATACATTCGCACTGCCAGATGCCTTCAATATACACACTACACCACATGCATGCATGGGTCTCAGGAGCGGATACTTACATGGCTTAGCGTCGGCTATCCCAACGAGCGCTGTGTAGTGCACAAGCACACGCTCTACACTCAGTTTCTTCCAGAGCGGTCCTATACCGACTTTCCCGTCGATGCACATAGTTTGTACCGCGGCCAGGGCTTTCAGACATGCCCCGTATACAGCGAGCACGCGTGTGAGATGGCTGACAGCCTGTGAGAGGATACGATGAGATGAGTATATGATATACTTCGGCTATAGTTATGGTACGTAAAGCCCAGAATGAGGATTGGATTGGGTTGGATTCGATTCGATTCGATTCGATTCGATGTGTTGGGTGTGTCAAGCACGCTTCTGCACCTGTAGAGCCACCATGGCTCCTCCTGGTAGGTGTTAACGGCCCAACAAACCCGTCTGTATAACTTCACACACCAATAACTCTTTTATAACGAAAACATAAAACTACCCCATCTGTACAACTTCACTCACCAATATCTTTATTGTAACGAAAACATAAAACTACCCCATCTGTACAACTTCACTCACCAATATCTCTATTGTAGCGAAGACATCAAACTATCGCATCTGCACAACTTCACAACGAAAACATAAAGCTAACCCATCTGTACAACTTCACACACCAATATCTCTATTGTAACGAAAACATAAAGCTATCCCATCTGTGGTATCATGTCTCACGTAAGCCGACCATGCGGTCTGTGTGTGGCGCCCAAGCAATGCATATGCGTTTCCTCTTCTGTGGTGGATCATTGCAGCCAATTATTAATACGTCAGCGACTATCTCACACCACACAATGCCCTCGTCACATCACATACGGGTGTGTATCATACCGGTTCACACTCAGACTTCACCACCTTCTGCTCCTTCTCTCCCGTGGCGAGCTTTTCTCCACCCCGCCCCTTAACGGTTTTGTCCTTTTTTTCCCTTTTACCCGGTTTAGCCCCACTTTCGCTTCTCTGAACCTCCAGAGCCGCGTCATCCAGCGCACACTCCCAGCGCAGTGTCAGCCGCAAGTTCCGAACTTCCACCAACCTGCACTCGATAATCGGCTGGTATGACATGGACGGTGGAGGACACGCACTGTCCGCGTCTGCAATACTATTACCGGATCGCTGCCAGTACACGTGGTCCAGCTCGTGTACCTTGCGCGTGGGGGCGTCGCCATGGCAACATGCGGTGAGGCGTGCCACTTCCCGGCCCAGTCTCAGCAGGTCCCTGGTGATGCGCTTTTGTTTGATGGCCTGGTGCGGAGCGAGTACTAAGGCTTTGACATCTCCTGTGGAGAAACAGAAGAGTACAACGGAAAAGTATATTAGCACTGGCCGATGTTAGGACAACCAGATACGCGCACAGCGATTGACTCCCGGTGCCCCAGCAGTGTGCTGTTGCTCGGTTGAAATGGGATACACAAGCCAGAGCAGTGCATGCACGATTGCAATTGCGACCTCAACGGGACACCAATGCTTCCAGAATGTGGCATTGGCTTGACCAGGTGTCCTCTCACATACCCGCCTGCTCCGCTTGCTTGAGAAAGTACTTATCCATGCGTGTCTCCTCTAATTTAATTCTCTGATGCATTTCGTTCGCTTTGCCCACAAACAGCACGTGGTACTTGCGCTTTGCCTCGATCAGTGCGATGTGGTTTAGCACACGACCGTATCTGTGGGCGAGAGAGCGTGTCAGTGTGAGTGCAGTATTTTTAACTACCCCACTCTAACGGAACGCATGTGAGAATTGAATGTATATATATATATATATGTGTGTGTGTGCGTGTGTGTGTGTA